CCTTTCTCTTTATGGATTAATAATGTGCTATATTTAATTCTAGGTTTCCGCCCCCTCCAAATAAATCGAGATATTTGTTTGTCCCAGTCATCGAACTGAGATTTGGGGATTTTGATAGGTAGAGACATAAACAGATACAGTAGTCTGGGTAGGACTGACATTTTAATGACCTCCATCCTCGCGCTAAAATCAAAAACAAGTGTTGACCATTGGGTGAGGTCCTCTTTAATCTTTTGGCTCACGGGCTCAAAGTTTTTTTTATACAAGTCATCTAACGATTTAGTCAGCCATACTCCTAAATATCTAATTGGTTTCAGAGACCAATCAACAGAAAAAAAATTTTTAACCTCACTCGATGGGCTATAGTTAAAACTTAAAATTTGTGTTTTTCCTATGTTGAGTTTGTAACCAGAATACATCCCAAACCTTCCCAGCAAATCTAAAAGGGTCCAGATGGACTGGTCTGGATTTGACAAGTACAAAAGGACATCATCAGCATATAATGCTATTTTGTGTTCTCTTGAATTAACTACGACCCCATGAATACTATTATTTTCTCTTATTGCCTGTGCTAAAGGTTCAATGTAAAGAGCGAAAAGAGTCGGAGACAAGGGACAACCTTGACGAGTAGATCTTTCAAACTTTATACGGTCCGTGACTCGTCCATTTATCTTGATTCTCGCGGTAGGCATCGAATATAATGTCTTAATACTGTTAATGGAGTTTTCAGCAAAACCAAATCTTTCTAGGACCAAGAACAAATACGTCCAGCTGACGCAATCAAAGGCCTTTTCGGCATCCAGACTAATTAGTACCGCTTTATGATTATTTTCTCTTACATTATTGATTATGTGGAGAGAGCGTCTTATGTTGTCTTGGGTTTGCCGGCCCCCAACAAATCCAGTTTGATCTTCATCAATCAAATCTGGAATGAACGAGTTTAGCCTATTAGATATAATTGAGGCATAAAGCTTATAATCTTGGTTTAGGACTGATATCGGCCTATATGAGCTGCACAGCGTTTTGTTCTTACCGTCTTTAGGTATAATTGTTATGATTGCCTCAGACCATGATGGGGGGTGGACATATTCTCTAATGTCCAGTTCAATGACCTTAGCAAAACTGGAAGCACCTCCACCTCAAATGCCTTATACCACTCAGCCGGCAGGCCGTCTGTACCTGGTGTTTTGTTATTTTTTAGTTTCTTTAAGGCCATTTCCAATTCTTCTTTCTGAATCTGTTTGGTTAGGCATTCATTTTGACACTTGCCAATTGATGGCAAATCTAATGAATTAAGAAACATTTTTATATCTTCTGTATTGGCTTGTGCAGGTTGTGCGTATAACATTTTGTAATAGGTTTGGAATGCCAAGTCAATTCCTTCCAGGTCACTTTGTAATTT